AACCAGACCAGGTGCCTCGCCCTCAAACAGGATGTCAAACAGGATGTCTGTGATCACCAGAGCAGTCATGGGACCTGGATACTTGTGTCTATGATCACCATAGCAGTCATGGGACCCGGATAATAATTGCTGAAGCATGCCGGGGTCTTTTATGTGGCAATACCAGGAAACCTAGTCCTTGGCAACTACCCCTGTCCCCAAGATGACCTCAGCCCTCGCTTAAGTAGCCAAAGAAATGCCTGTTGCTATGCTGATACTTATGTAACCATTAAAACTCTATAAATATTGTACTCCCTGCAAGCCCGGTATGCTCTGCACCCAAGTTGCAGTAGCATCCGCAGGCTCCTGTGTACTCAATAAACCACCTCTTGCTTTTGCATCCAGTGGTCTGGCCCCGTCCTTGGGCAGAGGGTTCAGTTCAGTAGCCGGCGCTTCGGTGCCAAGGTTTTCCAAAACATAAAGCTTAAATGCAAAATGTTGAACCTCTAGAAGGTACTGAAGAAACTAGGCCTCTTCATGTTTGGCGACCTGCTTTCCATGGGTGCACCAAAAGCATGTTGTTTCTACATGATCAGAGCAGACTCATCCAACAGACCAAAGTTATAGAGAGGCCTCTCTCTGGGTCCAGGGCATTTCAAGGACTGCATGGAACCTCACAAGACAGGGATTGTGGCTGCAGTTTCCCACCCAGATCTGGGGAATACCCGCCACATGGGCTTTAGCACCTCACCATCTGTCACTCTCCATCTGGGGACAACAGTTCCTCGCTTACCATGTTGTGGTTTTCCAGTTTGCTCTTGCTCAAAGCACAGCACACAAAACCACTGGTACCAGTTTCTCTTCAAAGCCAAACCTGAGCCAGTGGCAGGAAGGACCCTGCACCACTTCTGACTGGCAGGTCGCCTAGGGGCTTGATTGGCTAGTATGTCCTGAGTGACAAGAGCACCTCCCATAGGGTTAAGGTGTGCTTAAAGACACAGCATAATGCTTCCTGACCTTGTCTTCCACCCCAGACAAAGGCCCCCCATTTTTCTAGATCAGCAGAGATATGCATTTCAATAGCACTTGCCCCTGGCTCCAACAGCACACCTTGCTATCTTGCAATCCATAGGCTTTTCCCCTTCTTCCTCCTGGCTAGCTAGTTTGTAGAGCCCACTATACTTACTATGTGGATGAAGTGATTCTCTGTCAAAAAAGATGGAAGAGTTCCCAGAATATTAACTACCAAAGAGATATTTAAGTATCCAAAAGGAGATGTTTGTTATGTGGCTTTACACTGAGGTCATGTGACCTGAAGGTGCTTTTAACTGGTTTTCTCAGGAACTTCAGACAATCAGGAAAGAAAAGTAGGAACCAGATCACAAACAAGATAATAAGTCTTTTTCCCATCATAAAGCTGGATGATGGTTCTATTGCTGTAGGATTTTCATTCCTAAAATTCAGAGCAAACTCTTGGCAAATGCCTCAAACTCAGACAATCCAATTGCTTCTGTCTCCTGAGTGCTGGGGTTAAACATGTGCACTGCCAACAAGCAGCCAAAGATGGATCTCACTACCTTTTTCGACACAGGATTTCTCTGTGTGGCTTTGGCTGTCTTAGAACTCATTCTGCCAGTCTGACTGGAGCACACAGAGATCTGCCTTCTTCTGTAGGTGCTGCAAAAGTGTGATTGGTCTGCTGGAACTTCGTCAAGCAGCAATGGTCACCATGTGATCCATGCTATTATTTCACAACATATCTTCATGTGCTATGGATATGTGCATACTTAATTATTATTTGTAATTTCATGCTTCTTCATGTCCCCATTATTTTCCCAAGGGGCACTTCATCTTGAAGCACTGCCTTCAAAGGGGATTATCCATAGATGCCTTATAATGTCATGGCAATGTGGCTTATTAAAAATGAATATTTTCTCTTATATGTGTGTGTCTGTAGTGTGATTACAGGTTTTTAGAGCATGGCAGTTATGTGGAGAGCAGATGTCAACTTCATGGGTGCTACTTTTGGCTTACAACTAGTGAAACAGTAGACTTATAAAATTCTAATTTCCCTAGGAATCTTATTGAGGGAAAAGACCTGAGTCTTGTCTCTATTGAAGAAATATTTACTTTATATCTGACCACCTTACAGGTTAGACAGGAACTGAGAATGTGGGAGTGTTTTAGAGATGGGGAAAATTCAATATTTGGCTTCATCAGATTATTTAGTTTTGCATATATTTGCCTTCTATCTAAGCCTGCTAGGAACCCAGGGATGGATTATTTACCATTTATGTTCTTTACTGTTCCAAATTAGTCAAACTGAATAAATATGACTTAAGATTTTTAAAATATTTCATTCTCCCTTTTCTATTATTTTTCTCTTCTTTTTAAAAATAGTGTTATTATGACATCCTGTCTTGCCTAGAACTCACAGTATGGACTAGGCTATCCCAGGATATCAGAGAGATCTGTCCATCTTGACTCTAGAGTGCCTGCATTATAGTTGGACATGTTGCTAGATAAGTTGGTTCATTTAATTGGCTTCCTGAGGATGAGTGAATGAGTCTGGCTGGTTATGGTAGCCAGGAAACAGACTCTGTTTCTAACTCCAGTAAGAGAAAAACGTTCTCATCAAATGCAGCCTTTCTGCCTTAAAGACCACTGTCTTCCAACTATGAGAATTATTATTTTTCCTCATCATTGAGTCTGTTATAACTCATCAAAGGACCTGGGAAGATTTCTGCCTTATTCTGCAACTGGTGAAACCCAGGCTCACGGAGATAAGTAGATTTTTGAATATGGTCTAGTGCAACTCCTCATGTTACTGATCCTATCATTCTAATGCTTCACTAAGTGAAGTTGAAGCCTTCTAAGCCAGGCTTGGTGGCAGAGGCCTGTAATCATGGTACTTAGAAAGTGGAGGTAGGAATTTCATGATCTCAAAGTCATCCAAGATGAAAATGTTCAATGGGATATGGTAGGAGGACCATAGAACACAGGGAGACTATGATTGCTCCAGGACAGTGTCTATAATCTTCCTTGTAGCACCAGTACTTCAGGGTTATTGCACAAGCAATTGTTAGCTAAGGTATTTACCACCCCATTTTTCCTATTCTTATTTTATTTTATAAATTTAATTCAAATTAGAAACAATCTTATTTTACATATCAATCCCAGTTCGCTCTCCTTTCCATCCTCCCATGCCCTGCACTAACCCTACATCCCATCACCTCTCTGCTCCCCAGGGAGGGTGAGGCCTTCTATGGGTGAATCTTCAAAGTCTGTCATATCATTTGAGGCATGGCCTAGGCCCTCGCCCATGTGTCTAGGCTGAGAGAGTATTGGAATAGGCTCCCAAATCCCTTTGTGCACTGGGGATAAATACTTTTTCCCCTGCCAGAGGCCCTTTAGACTACCCAGTTCTCTGAACAGACACCCACATTGAGGGGGTCTGTACCAGTCCTATGCTGGTTTCCCAACTATCAGTCTGGTGTCCATGAACTCCCTGTTGTTCAGGTCAGTTGTTTCTCCAGCCTGGTATTGACCCCTTTGCTCATCACTACTCTCTCTCTGCAGCTGGATTCCAGGAGTTCGGCTCAGTGTTTAGCTGCGGGTCTCAGCTTCTGTCTTCATCAGCTACTGGATTTCCAGGAGTTCGGCTCAGTGTTTAGCTGCAGGTCTCAGCTTCTGTCTTCATCAGCTACTGGATGAAGGCTCTAGGATGACATTTAATGTAGTCACCAACCTCATTATAGGAGAAGGGCATTTAAGGTATCCTCTCCACTATTCCTTAGATTGTTAGTTGGGATCATCTGTGTAGATCTCTGGATATTTCCCTAGTGCTAGATTTCTCTTTAAACCTATAATGGCTCCCTCTATTATGGTATCTCTTTTCTAGCTCTCCTGTATTCCTCCCTTCTTAGTCTTCATGAACCTTCATGCTGTCTTTCCCCCTCCTCTGCTTTCCTTCTCTTTCTCCTACTTCTGTCTCCCCTCGCTGACATTCCCAATTTGTTCAGGAGATCTTGTCCCTTTCCCCTTCTCTGGGGGACTATGGCAAGCTTTTTAAGTGTGGAAGTATGAATCAAGGGGAGGGTCTGCTCTTGGCACCCTGAGGGCAGGGATTGGGATAGTGCCACCAAACCCAATCTAGACTCTCATCAGCCTCTCTCCACTTGCACCTCCCTGTTACGGCAGAAGCTTCACCCAATCTGCCTTCTCCACCTCCTCAAGGAACAGATGCCTGAGGTACACAGGATGGTAGCTACAGGGAATACTTCCCTACCCATACCTCATGCTGAATATGAGCCCACTGAGGCCTAATCCTCCCATCATCCCATGTCAGCAGGAAGAAGCCAGACTTAAATTGACACCCCTATACCAAGGGAGTCTGGGTTGTTTAGACCTACTGACTTCCATATCTACACAAAGAAGTTGGAATGTTTGGTACTTATTCCAAACCCCATTTTCAAGGTGCCAAGAATGGGCCCTTACCTGGAGTAACCTCCTACAGCCCCTAAAATGCCCATTATTGATGGCTCCACCCCTGAGGTTTGTGGTAAAAGCTCCCACCTCAGGATTCACCTCATGGTTTCTGGTTTTCTCTTCCCCTGGGGCCACACAGGGATTCTTTGTTCAGACTAAACCATTGTGCCATGTCTCTTCTGCTTACCTTGTCCTGTCACTCAGGCCTCACTAGCAAATTAGAGCCTCTAGCAGATCCTCCAGTCAGATGAGAGCCAGGCTTTTTCCTCAGCTCTTCTGAGGAAGTAGAAGTTGTCTCCTGTGCTGTGCCTTTGGTTCTGCATACATGACTGGAAGGTGGAGAAGAGTGTATTGGGCTCTCTCTCACTCACTTTCTTTCTTGGGTTGCAGATTGCATTAGAAAGGTTAGGACTGTACCTTCTAGAGCAGGAATGCCACAGTGGCTCTTCATTATTATCTTTGTAAGTTGTGCCCCAATTAAACAACCACTTACCATTTATCGTCAGTCTGGTGAACTCATTAACAGCCCGGCATCACATGAAACAATTTTTTATTGAAACTAAAGACAAGTATGAAGTCTTTGCAAAATTGTTTACATGAATACGGTTTTCTCTTCCATGAGCTTTTCCCTGATATCAAGATGATACAAAAAGGGTTTAAAATATGTACAGGGTTAGAGATATGGACAAGCAAAATTATGACAAGTTCATTGCCAGGACCTAGGTCAGGTTTTTGAGAACTTTCTGTAGTTCCTGCTACAGGAATACTCAAGGGTCTAACCTTCTTGGGAACAAGCATGAACATTCACAAACCCACACACTGACCTCACTTAATTAAAATTAAACCAAATCTCTAACCAAACAGACTGTTACATGTGAATATTTTGTCTTGTAAGAAGACATTCCTGTAACCCAGGTATTGAGGCATTTAAAGTCTTAACAGTTTCCATTCATCATGGAACAGAAAGCAAGCATGTAGGATTGAATTTAGAGAAATCAACCAATCTGGATGAGTTTTTTATGTAATAAAGAAAAGTGTGAAATCAAAAAGGGCTATCTTATCAATGAATTCATAGGAGCTTTTTCCATATGAATTTGCAGGAGCAAACAAAAGAGACATCATAGTACTTGAACAGATTGTTGACATTTGTCAGATTTTTTCTTTCCAGAATCTTGTGTAACCAAATGTGTATTTTCTGAAGACTGTGACAAATCCTTTGTAGTAAGATTCCCTTTAGTATGAATTTCTTAGGCCCTCAAAGATTATTGTGATATACAAAGTGCACAGCTTTGCCACATGGCTTATATTTATAGGATTTCTCTGCAATATGATGTTTTTCATGATTTTAATGACTGATGATACATACAAATACTTTACCCTGCTAGTTACACTCACAGGGTCTCTCTCAAGTATGTGTTCTTTTATGACCCAACAGGGTACTGTGATGTGAAAAGGCTTTACCACATTGATTACATCCATAGGGTCTCTCTCCAGTATGTGTTCTTTTATGACATTGGAGACTACTGACACGTGAAAAGGCTTTACCACATAGATTACATTGATAGGGTTTCTCTCCAGTATGTGTTCTTTTATGACTTACAAGACTGCTTTGTTGTGAAAAAGCTTGACCACATTGATTACATTCATAGTGTTTCTCTCCAGTATGTGTTCTTTTATGACTTACAAGACCACAGTGTTGTGGAAAAGCTTTACCACACAGATCACATTCATAGGGTTTCTCTCCAGTATGTGTTCTTTTATGTCTTTTAAGCTCACCATGACCTGCAAAAGCTTTACCACATTGATTGCATTCATAGGGTCTCTCCCCAGTATGTATTCTTTTATGATACTGGAGACCACTGCCATGTGAAAAGGTTTTACCACATAGATTACATTCATAGGGTTTCTCTCCAGTATGTGTTCTTTTATGACTTTTGAGACTGCAGTTTTGTGAAAAGGCTTTACCACATTGATTGCATTCATAGGGTCTCTCCCCAGTATGTGTTCTTTTATGACTTATGAGACTGCAATTTTGTGAAAAGGCTTTACTACATTGATTACATTCATAGGGTTTCTCTCCAGTATGTGTTCTTATATGTCTTTGGAGTTTAGAGCGTTCTGAAAATGCTTTCCCACATTGATTACATTCATAGGGTTTCTCTCCAGTATGTGTTCTTTTATGTATTTGGAGTTTAGAGCATTCTGAAAATGATTTTCCACATTGATTACATTCAAAGGGTTTCTCTCCAGCACATGCATTTACATGTCTTTTAAGAACACCATGACTTACAAAAGCTTTAACACATTGATTACATTCATGGGTTTTCTCTCCAGTATGTGTTCTTTTATGGAGCTGGAGACAACTGTGACATTCAAAGATTTCACCATATTGAAAACTTTCATACGGTTTCTCTCCAGTATGAATTGTTTCATGCCTTTGTAGATACCTGTAACACAAAAAGATTTCAGCACATTGAGTATATTCACAGGGATTCTCTCCTGTATGGCATCTTTCATTTCTGCAATGATAATTGGCACATATAAAAGCTTTACCACATGTGTTATACTGATGAAACTATATCTGCATAAATTAATTTTTATAATTTGGCCTAATTGTAAGGAGGAATCAGATCTTATGTTTTACATTTATGATGCTTCCCTTCATGAGGGGTTGTTTTGTGGTTTTAAAGACACCTGTGAGATAATAAGAGCCTTTATTTCATGGCCCACATTTATGGCATCTTATTTACTTATTTGTTTATTTTGTTGTTGTTGTTGTTTTTTTTTTTTTTGGTTTTATGAGATAGGGTTTCTTTGTGTCTTTGGAGGCTGTCCTGGAACTAGCTCTCGTAGACCAGGCTGGTCTCAAATTCACAGAGATCCACCTGTCTCTGCCTCCTGAGTGCTGGGAATAAAGGCGTGTGCCACCACTGCCTGGCTGGCATCTTTTTTATATGAAAATTTTCACATATTTGAAAAGAACTGGAGGAACTCAGAGCCCTGCCATACTTATAGCCTTCATAAGTTTTCTTATAGTGAGAGTCATACTACATTGGCAGATTGTACCAGGATAAATGGAAGTATTCATACAATCTGATGCTTATAGTGGTTTTCTGCAGTATGTATTTGTTGGTGTCTTTACAATGAATTTAGAACACCAATTAATTGTAAACTTGTATAACATTCGACATCTCTACTCAAAATGGGGGCTACTGAATATCTTTCATATCTTCTCATTGATCTGAGAGAGAGACAGATGGGGGGTATTTTGCTTCTTTCCATATTCTATGCTCACATGACTTGTATTTAGACTGACATATGATATTCTTTTTTTCTTTTTTGGAGACAGGTTTCTGTGTTTAGCTATGGATCCTGTCCTGGAACTTCCTCTGTAGACCAGGCTGCCCTCCAACTCATACAAATCCACCTGCCTCTGCCTCCCAAGTGCTGGGATTAATGGTATGTACTATCCCTGCCCTGCTGGACATGATATTCTTCTTAAAGGAAGAATAACAAATAAAAGGTTTCCACATTGCATTCATACAGTTTGACTTTCTTTTCCTCACAGACATGTGGTTTTGGAATTAAGGTTTCTCCACAACAACCTTCTTGACTCTCTTAAACTGACCCTTTCAATATACTTAGCAAAGTCATGATTATGAGTAATGCCAGCTTTACTATAGACTGTTTTTTCTTTGAAGCTTGTGAACATATACGTATCATCTAATCAATGTGTATACAATTTAAAATATCTGAGTGGTATTAAACTAAACAGATTGTCATTTCTACAGCTTATATCTCATGGGGCTATATGGCAAATGTTGGTATCTGCTAAGGCATTGTTTCCTTATCTCCTTTTTCACAGGAATGCCTTGCAAACACATAATAGTCACCTGACACTGATATACATGTTTTTGTGAGAAATTAAGAATCACTAATATACTTCAAGCTGTGCTGATTTATGCTTTTCTTTAAATAATCTAGGAAACATTAAAATTTCTTAAGAGGTAAATTTGTGTAAACTTGCCCATGAAAATTACCTTCTATGTCTTCTAGAACTTTGACAATGTTCTTCAATATTATGGTCATCCCAACTGTAGCCTAAAATACAATACCAGAAAATATGAGGTATATTAATGTAAATTATATAAAATTTAAGTTAATATCTTCAATGAGCATTAGAACAATGCTTTATTCACCCAATTTTCCCTTTTCTCAATCAAAATCACAGAAGATTATCAAACACCATGAAATAGTTGTCCCCCTATTTTAAATCATGAAGGAAAATTCAGTCTTACCTACAGCATTGAGGTTCGTGTAGGTCTCTAGCATCACATCTTTGTAGAGACTTTTCTGGGAAGGATTCAGTAAAGCCCACTCTTCCTGAGTGAAGTCGATGTGCACATCATCATAGGTCACTGTATCCTAAAATAACCCATACATGTGTAAAACAGTGTGGTACTGACACTGTAAATGTATGCTTCTTTCACAAGATAGTCAGACAATTCTGGTGCTTCCCACACTTTTTTCATGACAGTGACTTTAGAAGGAAACTGACTAGTAGGTACACATGCACCATTTCTGTGCCCTATAAGTAGCATATAGCCTTGAGAAAGAAATCCCAATGAACAGACATAAAGAGACAAGGAAGTAGATCAACACTACTGAGAACACATCAGAGAAATTTTATGATAGGGCCAGCCTATAACATAAATACTCTAGACCCTGGAACCAACTTCTCTCTTTGTTACATTTTTATTGCTGTGAAGAGATACCATGAACCATGGCAACTCTTACAAAGAAAACATTTAATTGAGGTTTCTCCCTTAACATTTCAGAGGTTCAGTTAATCATCATCAGGACAGGGGACATGGCAGCATGCAGGCAGATGAGGTGCTAAAGGTTAGAGTCCTTACATCTTGACTCAAGGGCAACTGGAAGTTGACTGATACACTGGACAGCATCCCCAGGATAAGAAACCACAATGCCTGACCCCACAGAGACATACTTCCTCTAACAAGGAAAAGCTCACTCCAACAAAGCCACACCTCCTTCTACTGTCACTAGTGGGAGCTCATACACCATGGACTGACAGCTGGGGAACCTTCATGGCACCAAACTAGACCCTCTGAATGTGGGTGACAGTTATGTGACGTGATCTGTTGAGGGGGCCCTGGCAGTGAAACCAGGACCCATTCCATGTGTATGAACTGGCTTTTTGGAGCCTACTCCCTATGGTAGGATATGTTGCTCAGTCTTGATACAGGATGGAGTGGCCTGAACCTACATCAACTTGGTATGCTTTACCCCCTGTGGGGAGTGGATGGAGGATGGAAAGGAGGAGACCAGAGGGTGGGAAATAGGGAGGGAGGGCAACTGGGATTGGTATGTAAAATAAGAACTAAGTTCTTAAAATAAATTTAAAAAGATACAGTGTATGATTTTTAATATGCACCCAAAGTGATTGGTGCTTTAAAAGCAATAAGAGTAATCAAGAAGGTGTACAGTATTTGGGAAAGGATAAAGGGGATGGAGAGAAAAAGCCAAGAACAAAAGCAGAAAAATGCAATCCACTTTTCATCAAAAGACCAAAGGAAATTCAGCCAGGTAAACTGAGATCTTGACCAATGTTACCCATTCCATGTGTTTAGAAATTAAATAACAGAGTTCACAACTCCCACAAAATTAACTCAGAATGACCCTTAAACTGTTCTGCTTCTGACTTTCCAGTATCCATATTTCTTCCAAGCAGAGAGGCCCCATGATCTAGAGCTCTCTCTACAAATGGGGGAAATCTCTTGCTATGGTTCTCCAAACTCTCATGTACCCATGTGATTTGAGGCAAACCCAGCCCCACTGAAGCCCACACAGAAAATAACTTAGAAGAATAATTTAGCATCTGCTTCCTGCCACATGTATCATGACATAACATGTGGAATCCGCCCTATTCACCCACCCAACACCATGCACACCTGAGAAACTTCTGCAGATCAGAAATTCACTTTGTTCCCTTGAACTCAACTTTCCTGAATCACAGCATTATAGCTGGAGGTAGCAGAGATTTAAAAATATTCTGATAATTCATTAATGAAGGGTGATCCCCATCACCTCAGTAGTATCCATATGGCATTAATTTTGTGGAGCTCTAAACTGTTTCTCCAAGTGTGGTGGTATTTTGTTTGTGCTTTAACAAATGAAGCTTGCCAGGTTGTGGTTGCCCATGCCTTTAATCACAGCACACGCCAGGCAGAGGCAGATGGATCTCTGTGACATCGAGGGAGTTCCAGACCAGACTCCAAAGCTACAGAGAAACCCTGTCTCAAAAAACAAAAACAAAACAAAACAAAGCTTGCCTGAAAACCAGAGTGTGGAACTAGGCAGTAGTTAGCCATAGAGGCCTGGCCATGATGGAGCACAACTTTAATACCAGCTCATTTGAGGCAGAGGCAGGTGGATGTCTGTGATTTCAAGGCCATCCTGGGCTACAACAGATTGATCCAGTCGAAAGGTGAAACAGAGCCAGGTGGTGGTGGCTCAAACAGTTTTCCCTGTACTTGGGAGTTGGAGATGAGTAATATGACGGGGCAGAGAGAGAAATATAAGGTGGGGGGAGAGAGAAGTTCATTGTGTTCTGTCTGAAGGTTCGTAGGGACAGAATTGCTCCTTTGGTCTGAAGATTCAGGAGAGGTAAGAACTAGGTGTTGGCTGCTCTGCTTCTCTGATCCTTCACCATTAACCCTGGTATCTGACTCCAGGTTTTTATTATTAAGACCAATTAGAATTAGCACTATGATCTCCATTATAGAGTAGTGTGGCGTAGCTAAATTGTGATGTAGAAGAGAAAAATTGATGGTAATAAAATTGACAGTATAAGGACTTACCAGTATACCAAGTCTATGGCTATATTTTGCATATGTTTGTGCATGAGAAAGCATGTTTTCTACATGAATACAGGATATAGAATGTAGAAAATTATGAGCCGCATGAATGTTGGTATCTGAACTCTGGTCATCCCCAAAAAGATAAGTGCTAAACCGCCTATCAAGATTCACAATATGCTTTATCCGATAAGCCAAAAGTCTTTCACAGATTAACAACAACAACAATACACCTAAGCAAATAAAGAAATAAATGAGTGATATTTATGAACATGATCCATCCATCAAAATTAAGATGTTGTATATGGTAATTTTGCAGCATAAAATGAATATAATCCAATGACAATGCCCAACAATTTAAAACAAAATGCTGATTACAAAGCTACATTCACAAAAATTTTTTTCTATTAAAAAGAGATACATTCACACTGGAAATACTCAAAATGTTCAATGGGATTATGAACATGTAGTACACAGATTGACATTATATGATTTCTATACTTACCAGAAAGCTACAACAATCAAAATGTGTACAATATTTGTTAAAGAATAAAGAGAATGGAGAGAAAAAGCCAAGAATAGAGGCCAGAAAATATAGTCAACTATTAGTCCAAAGAACAAAAGAAACTTAGCCAGGAAAAATTTATCTTGACCAATGGTATCCAACTACCTATGAATCTATGTGTACAGAGATTTAAAAAACACAGACTTCAAAACTCCAATTAAATTAACTCAAAGTGACCCTTAAACTATTGTTTCTGACCCTTCAGCTACTGATATTTCTTCCAAAGACAGAAGCCCCATGTTATAGAGCTGTCTCTGCAAAATTAGCAGATTTCTTGCTTTGGCTCTGCAGTCTTTTATGCCCCCTGTGGTTTCAGGTAAACCCAGTCCCACTGATTACCAATCCTAAAAACAATATGGAAGAATAATTTAAAATCTGCTTCCTGCCACTTGGATTACAGACCAAGATGTGGATCCTGCCCTAACTGCCTGCCCAACACCATGCACACCTGTGAAATCTCTGCAGACCAGAGATTCCTTTTGTCTCCTGGAACCAAACTTCACTGAATCAGACTATTGCGGCTGGTGATAGCAGTAAGGTAAAAATATTACAATCATGTATTGCTGAAAGACAATCCATATCACCATCTTTCTACCATATTTATAAATTATTTGTAATATTTATAAGACAAACTTGAAACTAGAAAACAGACTGTCAGTTTTCCAAACTGTGCTCCCACTGCAAACCAAAGGAACTGCCTGTGTGTGTACACTGGGCAGTGATAGTACAAGTATCATATTCTCCCATGCCAGGGCTGCAGAATCTCCCCCTATCCAAGAAATCCATATACAGGGAAGCTCAAATGACAAGGACAACTGCCCTGGTCAACACATGGACCAAGAGAATCACAGTCTGTCTCATGGACAATACAAATTCCAGCAGGAATGACAGCTCAGCAGTCTACTCTGAACACCCTAACTCACCATGGTATAGCTTGTGTTCTTCTATACAACTCCCTAGAGAAGGAGATGAGAATCCTGGAAGGAAACTGCAAGCACCTACCACCAGTACTCCTGACTGGTAAGTCTTCCCAGAGTCTCTCATTGGCTAGAACCACCCATATTGGCCTAGAACATTAGCAGTCGCCCTACCAGGTGATCAGAAATCAAGTGAATCAGATAGCACAGTCCTTCCAGCTCTGCCCTTCCAGCCTAGCAGACAAAGGCCTAGTCAAGAAAGTTTTATTAGGCATTCTTCCACTCTCCTAGAACACATCCTGCAACTGCTGCAATGAATAGGGTCCTTTGTGTGCACAATCCAATATACACTCAATGCACATTGCTGCCATCCCTTGAACTCATCGCTGGGAAATACTGCAGCCAAATGCATGTCACATTCAAACAGTAACTGTTGTTACTCTGTAAATGTTGTTTAAGTAAAACTATCCATGAATTAGAAAACACCATGGAGTCATGCTAGGGCTTGATGACAGGAAAGAGAACATGGATATGATGTTGATAGGAATGTGGATTGAAAATTTATCTTTAAAAGTTGAAAAGAGTTTTATGGTCATGTGCTCCAGAGACTAGGGATTTCTAGTAGAGCACACAAATCTTTTCTCTCAGACTGTATAGCTACACCCAGAAAAATAACAGTCTTGTTAGGCAGGCCACAACAGTTTACACAGATCTATTTGGTGGAACTTCTGTAACCAAAGTTTTCATGATAAGGTGTCCTTTATCCAGATTCTTGATTGCCCTCTAAAAATGGTCAATCTGGAAAATTATGGAATATCTTTAATTGATTAGCGAATTCCACTTTTGCTAATCAACTACTGTCGAAGAAGTAAAGCTCAACTTCCATCCTGCCTCTCCCTTTTCTGCACTGTGACTACACCAGTTTCAAAGTTGGTCAATGAACTCCATTCTTGAACAGGTCCCTCTTCATTTATAAGTCCCCACTGAAAACCAGAGAGTTTGGAGTTCACTCATTAACTGACCAGCCAAGACCCAGACAGGAAGGAGGTGCAGGAAGGAGGTGCAGGATTGTCTTCCCAGCTCTGGGCAGGAGAAGCAGGATTAGGGGTTCCCAGTAATTCTCAATGACACAGCATGAGGCAAGCCTGAGTTATAGGAGACTTTGCTCTACACAGAAATGAATAATCAACATCACTTGAGAGAAAAGGAATGAAACTAGTAAAAACCCAAAAAGAGTGGAGAATCGAAACAAACAGAGATAAAAAGCAGTAATATAATTAAACAGAATATTAAAAATGATATCGGGGCTGGAGAGATGGCTCAGAGGTTAAGAGCACTGACTGTTCTTCCAGAGGTCCTGAGTTCAAATCCCGGCAACCACATGGTGGCTCACAACCACCTTGAAAGAGATTTGGTACCCTTTGCTGGCCTGCAGGCAGAAGGCTGTATACACAATAAATAAGATATTTTTAAAAAATGACATCAATAAGTGATTTTTTAAAAAATGAATATAATGTATTTTTAATATTTAAAAAATTTAGCTATACTTACTTTGATAAAAGGACACTTCCCTAGAGAGAACATCATTTTCAGCACAAACTCTAATAGATCTTAATAATAAAAAACTCAGTCAGCTGTCAGTGGGTGAAAGATGAAGGATCACAAAAGCAGAGTGGCCAGACACTAGAGTTCTTACCTCTACCAATGCTGAGACCAAAGGGGCAAACCTGTCCTCACAATACCTCCTCAGACTACCTGCTGCTTCCATGAAACCTCACACTGAATGCTCAGACTGAATCCTCTCACTGCGTGAACTCCTGTCCCCTCCCACATTATATTCCTCTCTCTGTCCAGCCATATCACTCCTATCTCCACCTCCCTAGTGCTGGGATTAAAGGTGTTTGATCCCAAGTGCTGGGATAACATTTTTGTGAGCTGTTTCTCTTTTAGACTCTGAATCTCTCTCTCTCTCTCTCTCTCTCTCTCTCTCTCTCTCTCTCTCTCTCTCTCTCTCTCTCTCATAGCCTAGAGTGGCCTTGAGCTCACAGAGATCCATCTGCCTCTGTCTTCTAAGTGCTGGATATAAAGATGTGCACCACCACTTCCTGGACAAGGATGACCTTGAGTACTTGATCTCCTGCTTCTGTGGCTAACTAGTAGCTTAAGTGTGTGGCTCACTAGTGAATTAGTTCTGCACTCTGATCTTCAGGCAAAACTTATTTGTTAGATTAAAACAAAGTATCACTACATTCATTAATACGAGATAGACAGACGTTACCCATATGCATATGATGGCTACTGAGCTCTGTAATCTGATACATAGTTACAGTCAATAACCTGCTTCTCAAACATCTGAGCTGACATAACTGTGTCAAGTAGGATAGAAATATCTGTACAGGATAGTAACCTAAATGAAAATTCAATATTCATTGGCTCAAGATAACCTTCCCAAGTCTACAACCACACCATATGGTCTGTGTTTCTTCACATGATGTGAATTAAAACATGTTGGGAAATTACAAAATCATTACCACAACCACAATCATAATGGTGACTCCAGTAGCTGGTTGCCTACCCTGAATCCTCCTCAGTATAAACTATTCCTCCTATTTTGATCTGAAGGCAGAAGCAATGCTCCCCCATGGGAATCCTTTTCCTGGGACAGAATTGGATAGTCAACTACATAACTCAAATCAACAATTTTAAATATGAGGAGGGGCCAGGTGGTGGTAGCACAATCCTTTAATCCCAGCACTCAGGAGGCAGAGGCAGGTGGATCTCTGTGAGTTCGAGGCCGGGCTGGACCGACAGCCTCCAAAACAATACAGAGAAACCCTGTCTCGTAAAAACCAAAAAAATAAAAAATAAAAAAATAAATATGAGGAGGTGTATTCATTTAAGAATTTTGAATGTGTAGTACAGAAGACAGCGAGGTCATTGCCCCAGAGAGCAACAGACTGGAATCAACACCACCTGAGTCAACATAAGAGAGTTTGCTTCAGTAAAATTTTTCTAACAGAATGGAAATGCAGCTGTCCTAGCATTAATATGCCTTACCAGGGAGAAATCACTTCACATAGTTAGTGGATTGATAAAGGATAAACACATTTAACGATAACATGCATCCATCTCTAGCTAATACTCAAAGAGGAGGCAGCCTAGACACATTTTGCATTTCATATTTGCTGTCATCCTTAAGTGTCTTTTAGGTTCATGTTCCAGGTTGCACTTTGAATGATTTAAACAGAGACAGGAGACAGTATGTCTAGATGTCTAGCTGCTTGGGCAGATGAGAGACTTACACAGCAAAAATATTCCCAGAATTGTTTCTTAAGTACACAAGAGACCTTAAACAGCAGAAACTTCTTCACTGACAGGATCCTGAGGTGAAGGTGGCTGGGGATGAGAAAGATAGAAAATGTTGAAGGTAGAAGACATAAAATTTGGGATGGGGAGGTCTTGCACAAGATATGTCTCATGCCAAGTAAGCTTCTTAGGAAGAACTGCATGTTGTATACTACTTCCAGGGGGAAAATAGAAGAAAAGGGGACTTCTATGAATTCAATAGAAACTCAGGGAGGAGGCAATCAAACAGTGCTGCACAAGGGGAACACGGGGTATCTCGAGATCATTACTGACTAACCCAACAGTGGCCTTGGGAATGAAAACTATAACTCCATGTAATGGGAAGTATGGTTCTCTGCATCTGAAGCAACCTCTCCACAAAGGCATGGCTCCAGACCTCTTCAAGCTCTCCCAAGCAAAATCCTGATTTTAGACAAGGCTCTGTTTTATTGTCAATACATCAGGCCCTTCCTTAGAGAAAACTCCCAAGGCCAAGGCCCCCAATCTGTTACTCGCTATCCAAGAATGTTCCTACCCCATGCCTGAGGGCCTAAATGAAAGTTTGATCAGACAACAGTGTTTTACTTTTCAAATAGTTGTCATCTGGTGTCCTATTGCCCACCTGGCAGAACTTTGCTTTTCTCAAGAAGAAAACTGGAACTTCATGGCAGACCAGGCCTTAAGGTTGCTTGTGACCCTGTAATGCTTCCTCAAGCAGCTTGCTACAGGCCTGTTCTTTGATATGGGGAATGTGTCTCTTGACTGGTTGTAAATCAGGGGTAGCTCATTTGTAATGGTTTGGAGTCAAATGTCTAGACAATCCTGGTAAACAAATGTGTATCCTAGCATCCTAGTTTCTAACAGGAGTTAGTACATACTTATCTTTGGGTGTTTTAGAGGCTGTCCTCCCTTAACTAAATTATGCTTTATAAGACTTACCAATCTCCTAAGCATTTGTAAATCCTTTGTATTACCAATTTTAGTCTTCTACATCACAGCTTAGTAGTGGAGTGCTACCCAACACGAGATACTTTTTACAACATCTACAAAATTAATAATAAATGAACCTTACAGGTAAAGTTTAAATGTGAAGTCCTGAACCTCTAGAAGATACTGAAGAAACTAGGCCTCTTCAAGGTTGGTGAACTGCTTTCCATGGGTGCACCAAAAGCATGTTGAAGTTGACTATAAAGATGATTCTATACACAGCTTCTTGTTACCAATGCTCAGAGCCGACTCAGTCCGCAGAGCAAAGTTATTGCGAGTTCTGCCTCTGGGTCCCTCATAGGACAGAGAGTGTGACTTCAGCTTCCCACCCAGATCCAGAGAATAAATACCCACCACACTGGCTCCAGCACCTCGCCATCTGCCACTCCCCAAGTAGTGGTTTTCCAGCTTTGCCCTTGCTGAAAGCACAGCACACAATTCCGATGGCTCCAGTTTCTCTTCAAAGCCAAGCCTCTAGCCAGCGGCCAGAAGGGCCCTGCACCACTGTGTGTGACTAGGAAATAAGGAGGATTCTGGGAAATGTAGTCAGAGTCAGACAACTTGCAAGAGGAGATGAGGTGGATTCTGGGAAATGTAGTCCGAGTCAAACACCATGTGACTAGGAAACGAGGAGGATTCTGGGAAATGTAGTCAGAGTCAGACACCGTGTGTGAGGAGATAAGGAGGAATCTGGGAAACAAGAGTAAAAGAGCTTATATAAATAATGAAGTAAATAATCATTGGGAACTTGATACATCAATGTTAAGATACTGTATAAGGTAACTTTGCAACATGAATTTAATACAATCCAAAGAAAATTACAAACACCATATAACAGGATATTTGATTCTGAAAGATCCCCCAGAGTGGGGAGACCCTCACTCAAATCTCGGGATAAGCTGATGCTCCAATATTTCAAGAGATACCGTTCTTGCTGCAAGCACACGAGATTTATTCAGGGAACCAGTGCACTGGGGCTGAGCTCATGACCCTGGCAGGGGCAGAGGAGTTTGACCGCTAGTAGTTTTTTTAAAGGGAAAAACCAAATTGGGGAGTTAGGCAAACATCATAAAGGATGAGAAGTTAAATGATACTCATGTCTTAACAGGAAGGTTATCTCAAGCAAGTATTCTTTGGGCATTGTACAGTTAAACATTGAGCAGGAATGTGGTGAGCTAGTTCCTGGATAAGGGAGTGCTATCTTTTAAGTTTATCTTGAGGTCTCTGGTTTCTCAGGAGAGGGCAGAAGGGCAAGTCACTCTGTGATGGGCTAGTCACTAGGGGTCTAGAAATGTTGAGTTGGGATCTCTCATTCCCCACTTCTTTTAGTAAGCAGTTCTAATCATAGAACTGCAGAACTAAATTTCTGACTCTATATAGTCTGCATTGCCCTATTCTAATCTCTGATACTGTTGGCATATCATAAGAATCTGTACAGCACTAACTCTTTGTCTAATAAAAGCAATTAATTTATTAATTATGCAAGGTCCTATAGTCAGCAGAAGAAGCAAGATCAGCAAGGGACCCATCAGGGCAGAAAGCAAAGTCGTCATCCATGGCAATCTGCTGAACCAGCCCTCGTACCAGTTTTGTGTGGCCTCCCAGTCTCATTTGCGTTTTTCTAATCTTTCTCTGAGCCTGCTCATGGAATCTCTGATAGCTCCAGAGTGATCAATGTAAAAACAACATAGTCCCCCTTCCTTAAGGAACAGCAGGTCTAAGCTTCTTCTATTCTGTAGAACTACCTCGGACAGGGAGGTGAGAGATTCTTCTAACTTAGTGGCAGAGCTTTCTAGCGCTTTGATATCCTGTGTCATAGCGGCTTGCAGAGTATTCAGGCCATATTGGAGGTCTTGGGGTCCCTTAACGAGTGCTGTAGTCCCAGTACCAATTCCTGCTGCTATGCTCAAACCCAACATTACTGCTAAGGTGAGGGATACCGGTTCCCTTTTGTCCCTTCTTTGGTTATAACCATAGGGGTGGTAGTAGACATGAGGAACCAGCTGAACCATAACACAAAAGTCTCTTGACTGGTTAAACACAACAGTAGAGACACAGGGGGTAAGCCCAGTATTACATGCCCACCAGCATGTAACAGATAAGGGTTGGTCTCTGTTACCATAATGGTTGAGCTGTTGCAGAGGTGCTGGTGGGAGCGAGGTGCTGGTGGGAGCGAGGTACTGTCCCTAGGCATAACCCTGAGCCTGAGACTTCAGTAAGGGTGAGCTTACTTCGGGAGCCCCAGGAACATTGATTTGGATCTGTCACGAAGATGACGGTACCAGAGATGACAGTTCCCTTGTAATAAGGAGGACCAGCAGCAAGACCTATTCTTCTGTAGTGAGCAGGCGACATAAATGCAGCTTAAGAGGATCACCAGTCCGTTCCAGCTTCCAGGAGTCATCTTGGGTTGCAGGAGGGACTGCTTTGATGTGGGATGCATGGATCCAAGCTGGGATGCCGTCAACCTTGATGGCAGTAGGACTGGTCAGGAGCACCAGGTAGGGTCTCTTCCATCTGGGTTCGAGATTGCTGGATCGATGATGCCGGACCAGGACGGAGTCTCCCACTTGGAACTTATGTGGTACAGATGTGGTTCCCGGTTCATATGCTCCTTTTAGCTGTGCCCAGGCGTCCTTTCTGACCAGTTCAAGAGCCTTTAAATGAGCTAACAGGGGTTGGGAGAAAGAGGCATCAAGATCAAGTACCCTTCCTGCTTCTGGCAAGGGGGATGGTCCCCCATGGAGGAGCTCGAATGGTGTGAGTTTAAATTTCTCTGGGGTGTTCCATACTCAGAACAAGGCAAAGGGCAGGAGGGCTGTCCAGTCCTTTCCACTGGTCTCTAAGGTTAATTTAGTCAAGGTCTCTTTTAATGTTCTATTTATTCTTTCTATCTGTCCTGAGCTCTGGGGTCTATAAGCACAATGTAATTTCCAATTAATCCCAAGTTGGGTGGCCAGCCCCTGACTTACCTGGGCAATGAAGGCAGGGCCATTGTTTGATCCAAACCCTTTTTGGGACCAAATGGATTTCCTAGACACCCCTCTACATATGAAACTGGCTAGAGACCAACTTAGCAAGAAACACAGATAAATAAATTTTGGGTCCTTTAAATTTTGATATCAAATGTCACAACCCAGCATTTACCCCAGTAACTTCATTGTCTTTTCACACTGAAGATGCTTTTAGCTCCAGGAAACAAGCTGTGGTAACTTTGTGACTGTCCTTATGATTATATCACATGTACCCATTTCTTGGAGCTCTTTCCTTTGGGTCAACAACTCCCTGTCTCTTGAGCTCTGCTCTGTAACCAGTCCCACAGAAACAAATCTAATCTGGTTCACACAGATACCCAGACTACTCAGAGTTCTCAAAAAATTGCTGATTTTCTATCTTAGGCTTGGACTTTCACACAAAGACCTGTTCTTGAAGACCATCTGTCCTTCTGTCCTCTGAGAGGTTTTCAGAGATGGCTAGTCTGTATCCACTTGATTGGACCACTGGGCCAGTGATTTGATCACACAGAAATACAGGTGCTGTTTGATAAATGGATGCAGATCACATTATAGCAATACTGAGTAGTGCGAGGGGAATGTCTTAAAGAGTAGAGGGGAGCATTAGGGCCAGCTACAGAAAGGAGTGGAGGGAGACAGTGTTGATGTTTCTAAGCTAAGAACTGGGTACCCTGGAAGCCCTATGCTGCTTTACACATCTGTGAGGGGACCAAGTCTCTGGAGGATGGGCAAAACCAGGTTGTCCACCACTGCATGGAAGAGCAATGCTAGCACAGCGACAGCTTCCCCTGCAGTGTGCCCCCAACTTAGGCTGATAGGATTGGGTCTCCCTGCATACTGTCTTTTGCCCCTTGGTGCTGACCAATGGTCTCCACTACAGGACTACTCATAGGATGACTTTGACCAAGCAACAGGTGACAGGTCATTTCCCCTAGGTGAGTGCCTTAAACCGATGCTATCTCAACGATCCAGCCTGATCAGAAAGAGTAGAGAAAGCAAGGGTTGGAGCATCAGGGGTTTTCTCATTTCTCAAGCCTTCTTTAGGTTAGAGAATGTCTCAAATGCTTAGACATTTCCCTCTCCTTTGTTTCTTCTAGTGGGAACCCACTCACCTCCAGTAAAATGACTGTCATGTTATCTGTTTCCAGGTTCACACCTCTTGCATTATGTCCCATTTGGGATATCTTATTTTAAGCCACCACCCTCTTGTGACAGCACTGTGCTCTCTCCCTGCCCCCTGGTAGCCAGTCATCAACCTACCCCACCCACCTCACAGACATCAGCTCTTCCATTCATTTTTAAGTAGTTAGTGGAAAGGTCAGTGGATATGCAACAGGTATTTCCTGCCCCTGGTTGAACCTCAGAGCTAGAAAACTTTCACCATGCCCCTCCTAAGATGCACTCCCTGGCATTGTTCAGGACTAGAAGAGACTGGAGGAAAGAGCAGGTGCAGGTCACACTAAAAAAATGTGAAAAGGTCATATATGTTGGCCTTGAGTAGATTATCTTAGTCTCATCTGACAAAAGATATTATACCATTATGTCCCATATCCTTTACCACATCATCTTAAAAACATGGTCAGAAAAACGTGAAATTCTGCTATGAGGATAAACCACTGTGCAAGTGTCATGGGGGTCATGTCCATGAAAAGTCTTTACTGCTTATAACTTTTGGTTGCTTTGACTGATTTTTTCATGTATTACTTTATCTAAAATACAAAAAGCAAATGCTTTATGTGATCAGATCAACCTGAGTGGTACCCTGACATCCATGTCCATCTTTAAAATGAAAGCAATTTCCCTCCTGTCCAGCACTGTGAATAGAAAAAGGAAAGTAATGGGAAAGAAGTAAGATTAACACTCTAGGGGATGGGGGATGGGACAGCCTGTCCAGCCAATTGGTGAACACCAGGTTCAGTGAGACTTTGTTTCAATAGATACTATAGAGACACTAGGGAGATGTCTCACAGTCACACCTGAGGAGTTGAGTTTGTATTCTCAGAACCCACGTAAGAAATTAGTATGAATGGGTTCATCTATAACCCTGGCACTGGAGGGATGAAGTGGCAGAGAGGCAGGCAAATCCCTGGAGCTCATCTAGATGCCTCTAGCCAATCTAACCAGTTGGCGAGTGCAGTCAACCAAGTGAGACTGTGTCCAAAACTCAGGCGAGAGTGATAGAAGAAGTTATGAGATGTCCCCTTGCTCTCCTGCAGTGATAGAGGAAGATATGAGATGTCCCCTTGTTCTCCTACAGTGATAGACGTAGATATGAGATGTCCCTTTGCTCTCCTGCAGTGAGGACCCAAGGCTATGGATTCAGGGCAGTTCTT